TCAGCCCACCAGGGGGTGGGGCTGGCTGGCATGTGGTGCTGGGGGATTGAACCGCGGTCCCTGTGCTTTGCTAAGCTTGTTCTAAGTAGGTGCTTTAGACTACTGAGCCATCTCACCAGCCCTATACTGTGCATTTCTGCTGGTCTATGTAAAGGAGAAGCTAATGCTTCAGTTTGTTTCATCTCCTTTTTAAAATTATTTGTACTTTTTCTCTTAATTTCTTATACATTTCCTTTTTTCTTACAATTTTACATGCATATATCTGGTAATATGAGTAACTGGTTGGAAGACAACACTGTATTACAACAAGTACTGTGAAATTCATATTACTTTTAAGTGAAATTCTGCATCACTTGTAATTTTTTGTTTTAATTCTAATTTGTACTCTTTAAAAATTCAAAAAATGGTTTCTTGCTGAAGAGTTAATGAGATGTTTAAAAAATATTCAGGTAATAAGTAATGTACAGCTTATATGGTTCAAAGTGATTAATATGTTTCTAAATATTTTCTTCTGTTGTTTTTGTGTTTTAGGGAAGGGTATATGGAGGGTGTTCAGGGTCTCATTACTAGATCAGACTTGAAGTGATCCGCCTCCCAAGAGCTGGGATTACAGGCGTGCCTCCACACCCAGTCTCAATTGCCATCTCAGCGCGCCCCAGGGGCGGGGCTGGCGTGGCAGGCCTGGGGGATTGGACCCCCAGCCCCTGTGCCTGCTTGCAGGTGCTTTAATCCGCTGAGCTATTTGGCAAGCTCTATTTTCTTCTTAAACTTCTATCTTTGTCTCCCATCTTTCTGTTTTTTTCTCCCTATTTTCTTTCTCTTACAATGTTTTATTCTTATTAGAAACATTGTTCTTTATTTCTTTACCTAACTATATATGAAATTTGACAATTAATGAAAATTTATTGAATGAGAATATTATTAAATTAGGGTATTTTCCTTTTATAAAATTATTGATTTTTCTAATTATATTTTTATTTTATATATTCCTGTGTTGAGTTTTTTTCTTCTAATGTATTAGTGTCCTTTAGGGGAACTAATAGCTTTAAATTTTTTTTTTTTTGGTGGTGCTGAGAATTGAACCCAGCAGTGGTCTACTACTGAGCTTCATCCTAGACTATTTAATCTTGAGTTTTTCTAGGTTACCCAGGCTGGCCTTGAACTTGCTATTCCCTCACCTCAGCCTCCTGAGTAGCTTAAATCATGGATGTGAGTTCCTGCTCCCAGGTAAAAATTGTTCAAATTGGGTGTGGCACACACATCTGTAAACCTAGCATTCTGGAGGCTGAGATGGGACTGCGAGTTCAAGGCCAGCCTGGGAAACTTAGCAACACTTCCTGTGAAAGCAAAAACATGAAAAAGGGCTGGGGACTTAGTTCAGTGGGAGAGAACTCTTGGGTTTGATCCCTAGTACTGTCAAACAAACAAGCAAACCTCACCAACTCAACAAGAACAACAACAACCCCTTTTAAAGAAATATTTACAAAAACATTTAAGTTCATAAAGTAAATTTTTCTTGTGCTATACCCTTGAAGTCTAGCTGGTGTTTTGAATTTTTGTTAAATGAAGAGAAATAACGTATGAGGAAGCACCTACCTTTTGATTTTTGCTTTTATGCTTTCATTTCTTAAATGAAATTGTTTCGTGATATCCCATGATCCTATGTATCCTAGTATGTCACTTATAATGGGACACATATATTACCCACAGGTAATTTTTCTCTTCCTTTGAGCTAACAGCTTGTTTTCTAGTTTAGGT